ACAGCACCTGTGCCTGTCAGGAGGAAAGAAGCCTTTCCTGCTTCCCGGCTGCAGTTCCTATCTCCACTACCAGGGCCAGTTGGCCAAGCATGCAGGGAGAAGCCTCTATGTTTTGCACTTGTAGCTGCCGCAGGTGGGGCCGCCCTCCCACTGGCCTGGTGCTATGGCAGGGACAGCCGGTTTACAAGCTTGTGTCAGCTGGGAGGAAGGCTGCAGCAGGCTGTGTATCATGTTTGTGGGCCTTGTAGCCAGGGGGATGGAGTGCTTGAAGCTCCTAAAAGTTCCCAACCTGCTGGGCAGAGTGCACCCTGATAATTTTGTCCACCTGTCCTTTCTGCTCAGCAGCAAGCTTTGTGCAATCTGTGCCACTTCAGCAGCCCTCTCGCTGTTAGGAAGTCTCTCTGACTTCCCACCTTTCTTTTGTCACAGAGCATCCAGATGTGGATCCCTATTTTCCACAAGTGGCTGGAATCTCAGTCTCTCCAAGCATTCTACCTGTCTTAGCTTTCCAACCACACTGATCTGCAGAGCACCATGTAATGTAGGTTTGTGCTGCACATCTCCAGGGCTGGGTGTTCAGGAGTCCTAGGACTCCACTCCCTCCCCGCTCAATTTCTCTTCCTCCTGCTGGTGAGCTGGGGTGGGGGAGGAGCTTGGGTCCCTCTGGATCACAGCTTTGGTACATTACCCATTTCCTTGAGGTCTGCTTGGTTTCCCCAGGTGTAGACAGTCTGCTGCAGCCTTCTTTCCTGTTACTCTTTCAGGATTTGATGTTATTTGTTATATTTTCATATTAGATGTGGTTTTTGGAGGAGGTTTTTGTCTCATCTCTCATACCACCATCTTTAATGCCATCGGAAATCTATTGATTTTTAATATTGCTCATATATATGGCCATCTTAAAGAACTTATAATAACCTATAATAATTTTTAGTTATGTTTGATTTTTCTCAACAGACTAAATCCCTTCCTTCCCTATCCTATAACTCTGACCTTAGCTTCTTATTATGATCACTGTCAGTTGTCCTCACTAATAGTAACTATTCTCTTTGTCCAATGTCCCATTCATGTGAAGAGTCCAAAATGACCATGTGGTATATGTAGCTCTAAGTTCTGTGGAAACCTTATTTGTGACCTCTGATAGAAATGTCTCTACTATCCTGTTCCCCTGAAGCAAAACCTAGAAGAATCTAGGGATTCAAGATCTTCATTGTCTATACATCAAGTCTTTTTCTGTCCAAGACCTGCCTTGAACATATGATGCTTCTCAAGGTGGGGAGTTTAGTTACCTTAGTAGTTCTGCTATCTTTGCAATTAAATTCTAAACCTGGTGCTCTGCTGCTGCAGAGGAAAGGAGTCTCTTTAAACACTGCCAAGGAGAGCTTCTGACTTTCACAGCAAATTTTGATTTGTTATTTGTTTAAACTGAGCCTATCATTTTCTTTTTTCAAGGTTTCTGAAACTTAGCGAAAGTCATTCCACTCTATGAGCTGTACAATCATCATTGTTCCCATATTGTCCATATGCCAATACTTTACCTTCCCTGTACATCTCATACCAGTTCTTTCTCCCCTGTGTGCTTATAAACTGTGATTAATTTAGTGCTAGGAGTTCTCACCATTACATACGTCATCAGCAATAAGATTGTTACTGCCAGATGTTAGTGAATTGTCCAATTCCTAAATCTCATCTTGTGGGTCTGCTTTTTAAGCCAGTTCTGGTACAAACTCAGTCTGTGTTCCCCTTAGAAAGCAGAGCTTGAGATAAAGATCAGAATGTGATAGTTTATTTTGAGAAATCCTAGAGTATAGGAGTAGGAGACAGGAAAAGGTGAAACAGGAAGGCAGAAAAGTCAGTACAAGTATTTTGCTAAACTAATCATCATTGTGAGCAACTAGGACTTAAGCCCACAGGGACCCAGTAAGAAGCTTTATCTAATATACCAACAGATGTCCACCTGAAGGGTGGGAAGGGCTCCTAGTGAACAGTGCTGCTAGATCATGCACATGTGGGTGCTGATTTTCTCTAGCTATTGCATGCAGTGGTGTCAGGCCCCAGTGCAGAAAGTGAGAGGTCTATGCTACCAGGTTGTATTTGTGCAGAAGCCTCTTGCCACAGCAAAGATAGAGACATAAATGGGCCAAAAACGTAGGAGATAGAGCATAAGAAGTATTAAATATGAAAGAGCCCTCCTTTTTTTCTCTTGTTTCATTTTGTAGCATGTTATTAATGGATAAAATATTTTTTACCACCTCTGAGGTTACTAAAAAGGCTAAACTTTAATTTTAAAATTCTCTTTTTTTCACTGTGTTTATTCTTGTCTGTGTGTATGTGTGTATTTCTCTTGGCCTAAAGCTGCCATTTTATTGGCTTTCCCCAACTGTTTGCTGATCTTTGGTTGTCTGTTCATATTTAAGAATAAGTTAGTAGAATAGCTCACTAGCAGCTCTTTGTACCTGTGAAGGACTTGTTAACTGACTTGCTTTGACTCTTGTGCTGAGTGTGTATTACTAGACACTACTTAAGGGGACCCATAAATGTTACAGTAAGAAAGGTTTTACTTGGATTCATTACATTGGTTCCCATTACCTGATTTTACCTTGGACAATTTATTTCAATTCCTTCAGAAAAGGACTCTCATTTCATTTGGGTAAGTGGTGGAGCATGTAGGATATAGAAACCACAGAATAAGAGTCCATCTTCCGGCTCTACTGTTCTCTCACTCATTTATTTGTGCACCAGGATCTAACCCAAGGCCATATATTGTATTTAGTTGTCCTATAACCTTAGTCTGGGTCTTTTTTTTTTTCTTTTTTTTTTTTTGGTTTGCCTTAATTTTAATGCTTGTGATGAACTATTGGCCACTTATTTTGTAGACTAGCATCCCAGTTTAGGTTTGCTTGATGTTTCCTAACAAATTCAAATTAGGCATTTTTGGCAATAATTGTTCAGAAGTGATGTGCTCTTCTCAGTACATTATTCTCAGGAGGTGACATGATAATGTATCACATGAATGCTAAGTAATTTTGATCACTTGGCTAAGATGATGTCTGCAGGTTTCTGTATTGTAAAGCTATGATTTTGAAATAGTTATTTATTAGGAGATACTTTGAGATTGTGCAGATATCCTGTTTGTCATCATGCTTTGCCCTCTTAGTGTCCATTGATAGATAATTCTTACCTGAAACAAATACTACTATAGTATTTGCCTAATGGTGATTTCTATATTGGAATTCTACCACAAGGAAAAACACCCCTTTTGTTTATTTTTGTTTCAATCAATATGGATTTATGGATATTAGACTTATTCTATGGGTTATAATCTATGCCTATTATTATTAGTTTTGTTACTCAAATTTTTCCATATTTGATTCGTTGCGACTCCCTTCAGTTGCCCCCTATATCCTTTTGACATATTCCCATAATTTTGTGTACTGCTTTACTTTCTGATATCACGTGTTTCATGCTCATCTTGTACTTTTCTTGCCCTGAGCCTAAAATCAATCATTTGTCCAAGAAGCCATGTTTCCTTTTATTGAAGAATAATATCTAGAATCTATATGTATATATATATATCTATGCACCTATATATTGCTTTATGTGAAACGACCTTTCACAATCAAAATGAATGAAAGGATTCTTTGATTGCCTATGACTGAACATAGATTTATGTATCTGGCTAAATGGTCTAAGCATTGCAAAGATCACTTTTGACAAAGTCCTTATTGAGTTTGCTGAAGTTACCTCATTAAGTAAACAAATAGATTGAAATTCAGCATGGATAGTCCATGTAGAACTTCATTATGCCTCAGTGTAATGTGTATGTGTAAGGTTCCTAGCTACCCTACCTCTCCACACCCTCTTCTGTTTAAAAAAAAAAAAATGCATTAATGTAAATAAAGAGCATTGATGCATTACTCTTTTTTCTCTTTTGTAGTTTACTATTTATTTATTTATTTATTTTTTACTTTTTAGTGGCATGATTATATATTCAAAGTTTATTAAAATATTGTCTGTTTTCTGGATATTACTGTAATTAGTTTCATTAACAATTATCAGTGAAACTATTCTTGTCATATAGAAGAATACTTTAAAAATCTTCTCCAGGTGTCAGAAGTGCTAAGGATACCTTGTTTCCATCCAGCTGTTCAGATGTACCTCATGCCAAGTAGAAGGACTGCTCTTAACTGGGTTTCTTTCTTCTTTATAGTTTTCTTTGTAAGTTGTGGTCTGGGTCCAAAGGCTCTGATTACCAATATATAAAGGCAAGTTTTGGAGACCTTTTGCTATTTCAAATGCTTTTTCATGCATAAAAATTGTTGCACACAATATTTGTGGCTGCTGATTCAATGGGTCTGCTCTAAATCACCCTTATCAGCACCTCTATATACTCCCACTTTGACAAACTTCACTCTAAAAGAAAGCCATGTATCAGTGTTTGGCTCTTTATCCCACTGCTATTTATTTTTCTATCTGACATGAGGGAAGAATCAATAAAAATGTTATATGTTTCAGTTTTTATATCCTCAATACCCAAGATATTAAAGGAGTTGAAAGTATCTGACTTGACAAGATAAGGCCAAGAAACGGGAGGTCTTACTACAGGAAGAGAAAAATCTTCTAACATTGCTCACCCAGAGGTCCTGGACTAAATGTGCTGGGGTACACTTACTGCTCCTACTCTCTCCTTTCATTTTTGTCTTATTATCGAATTATAAAGGGTTGTTTAATAAAATAAGAACAGTAATTCAATAATATTGAAGGCTTTGTGGGGGAAATATCTTTAATCTTTTTAACCAAAGATTTTACTAGTTACACAGTTTCAGGTAGGAAGCCAGTTAGGACCACTCAGAATTTCTGAAACAAAAATTTACACAAAGGAATGTTTTGTGTTTCATGATGGTTGTGAACTGTAAAACCCTCATATAGCACAAAGGACTTGACTAAATACTGTGCTAAGAGACTTGATCAAACTTTAACTTGACTTCCACTTGTACTAGGTCATGGCTGTGTCTTTCAAGAGGGCTCCAGCCCCCAGGTCGACTTTGCTCAAGAAAATGGGATCCTGCCAAACCACAAAATGTGTATTGTACAGCCAACCTTTCCAAAACATTTTCAATAATTTTCCACTTACCCCTTTCTGTACTTTTCCATTCCCTCTTAGTCCCTTTTGGTTTTCCATGGCCTCTTAGTCTCCTTTCTATTGTCCTCATTTCACTTCCCATAGTCTCTTTTTCTTCTCTGTCTTTTCTCCCTTCAAAAACGTCAGTCACATTTGTCTTATTTGGAGTTGAACTCAGTTATATTGGAATCTCTCTCCCCTCCTATAGTAGAATGAATAAAATCTGCCTGCCACCTTTGACAAGTATCCAACTGTGTTTTTCTTTGACATAGACACATGTTCCATTTGCATTTATTTAAACAGAAGATGTTTCTCAAAATGCATAATAAAAACATTTGACTTTTTGATATTTTCAAATCACAGACTGAGGCTCTAATAAGTCTCAATTTTTTTGTTATGAAATTATATATAAGTCACCTGTAAAATTATTTGATGGTTGGTAAAGTTAGAACTGTAAATTGAATATAATCCATCTTATACAATCTTTATATCAGATACTTTCAACTCCTTTAATATCTTGGGTATTGAGGATATAAAAACTGAAACATATAACATTTTTGGTTCAGTTAACAAAATTGACCATTTCAAGAGGAATATTAAAGTTTTTATGAAAAATACACAAGATTATTTCCCCTTCAGGGTAGAATGGATTAACACAATTTATTTAACTGACAGTTAAATATTTGGGTAAATGAGGAAAGGCAAATGAAGAAATGTCTTGCAAAATGTGGAGGAGAATCTTGTCGCTACGTGACTCCTCGTTGTTGAATTGAACGATCTTACCTATCATGCCTACTAGCATTAGGTCTCAAAATCTACTTCCTGTTTTCTTCTTTACTGTCTTAACATGTTTTGACAACAAAATAAGCAACATTTTATAACAAAGAAAGTAACAATGCCACACAAGCCACTAGGATCCCAAACACATCCAAAGAGTGACACTGGAACCAGGTGAGGTTGTAGGAGACTGGCCGCAGGTTTTGGCTCTTTTGTGATGCATGAGAAACTCAATCCAGAAGACTGCTTGATCCAAGGGCTTTAGGGTCAGATCATGATTAATGGTTGATAACCACATAGCATTCTCCATAGTTGAAGGAAAATCAAATAGACATCTATTTATAGAATGAACTACGAAAGATAAATGTGAAATTTTCGTATGGATGGTAAAAATGCATGGCACATTAGAATGGAAGAAAAATTACTTTTCTCAAATGATTATAGAGATCTTAGTTTATGGGCTGGAATTTTTTGAATGCATAAGACTTCAAGCTGAAGAAGTTCGGAGAGGACAAGTATTTCTAGCCTAAAAAATGGAATGAATGAAGTCCCAAAGAGGGTAAAAAAAAAAAAAAAAAGAGCACATGATTTGGGTGGGCAAAACTTGAATTATCCAGTAAGGAACTGTTAATAGTCCTTGTGAACAAGTTTTAAAATACTAACATAATCCAGAGACGGGAGGCAAGTCCATGATGAAGTTCAGGGACATGTCTGGGCAGGCTGATCAGGGGTAGGTATTGAACAGGAATTGTTATTAATTTATATCAGTGAATCAGTGGTTAAAGGTATGAAAGTAGATGGCATTGGTCTGAATCCCAACTCTGACACTTACCTTGTTGTGTGCTTTTTTCTGTTCATCAGTTTTTCATTGTGAAATGGAATGGACAGGAATAGTATCTTTCTTTTCTGATTATTGTGAAGGCTAATCTATTGATTCTTAGAATTCTATCATTTGGAGACTCAGTAAATGTTTGTTATTATTGCTGTGCTTTTTTTAGTATTGCTATTTTAGAATCTGGAGAGTGCTTGACATTTCATTCAGGCATTTGCAGCTGCATTTGTTTGTTATGTTGAAATGATCATGGAGTAACAAGGAAGAGGGATGAATGAAGGAAGAGGGAGCACTGGGTTTTTAGTGGAGGACAGTAATCCTGAGACATTTTTATAATATATTAGGAAACGGTTATAGTTATGAAGTCACTAGACATGTGCAAAGAGTTTTGTACAATGTGTAGCATATCAGAAACATTCAATATATGTCAGCTAATATATTAGCTTAATTTTTATGATACCAGCTTTACATTATTAAAAATTTTTAAGTATACAAAGATATCTATACTAGGGAGAAGTGATTTTACATAAAAATACCAAATGAAAGATATATTCCTTAAAAGAAAAAGGGTAAAGAAAATGTACTTTTCATGGTGCTCATTTAGGATGAATAATAGTTGGACTAAAACTAAGTATTAAATAACATTGCTTTTAAAATGCAAATGTCCGCCAATGTATTCTTAGACAAAATGTTTTATTTCTAAAGTCACTATGAAAGAACAGTAGGAAAAAATATATATGAGAATTATATTAATAATAGTAATATTGTATTTATGAATTAATGTATCCTGAAATCTGCAATGATTTGGAGCTCAAATATTTCTAGTTTCTGAAAAGTTGGCTTTTATATAGGAATATTCCAACATATGCCTTCCAAGTCAATTGCTTTTTGATTTTACAATTCTTCCAAATAAGACAAAAACAAACATAATCAAAACAACTGAGAATACTTACATTTATAAGTAGTATTCATACAATTTTAATTGGATAAATTTGAAAGTCTTAGTTGTTTGCCATTTATCAGTGATGGGATCAAAATATTAACAGAGGAAATTTGGGAAGTGTTAAATGTAATGGAAATTTGAGATTATGCCATGTTGGTTTACTGAAAGAGTTTAAAACATTTGCTTGAATCTTCATGATGAAAGACAGTCATAACTGTGGTCAGTACTGTTATAACATCATGAAGTTCCCTACTTCAATGTTGTACTCAACACTTCCTCTTAATCCTCGTGTTCTTATTTCAGTGACTCTTCTCCTTTTACTGATTGGGTATTTCAAACTTTCTCCATATCTTTAAACCTCTGACAAACCTTTCCCCAAAAACCATTGAAAAAACTTAATATGACACTCACAATGGTTATTGATGACTTTCTCCAAAGCATTGTGGAACTCTTATTCATCACTGTGTTCATGTCAAGACCCACTGCTGTCCCCTGGCCTTCATATGAAAATCTCTCTAGAAAGAGTTTCTAGTTAAGAGAAAAAAATTACACTCATGAGGCATCATAGTTACTTCCTTCAATGCATTGAGCCAATCTATACCTGACATTATGTTTAAATTCAATCCAACAACTGCTCCTTTGCCCTCCATGTGAGCTGTTTATCAGGAGGACCTGCAAACAAAGGGATGTCCACCATAGGGATCTGGTGGTATATTGCCTCATAGATGCTGCTGGTTGCACCATGAGTTAGAAAAGCTTTGATATTTGGTTGACCTAGGATTGAGTAAATTTTAGTAAAATTATTCATTATAATTCCTAGAAATAAATGAGAAATGGGCATTGTAAAGCAAGGGAAGAGGCAGTGTTTTTTAGATAACAGATTGTTATACACATGAAACTGCATTTAAATTGCTTTCAGAACTTAGAGCGAGAAGCACTTATGTCTACTGGAGAGGTAAGTGAAGACTATGTGAAAGAAGTGGTGTGTTATTTGAACTTCAAAAATGAATACAGGATTGACAGGTGAACAGATTAAAAATACATTCTGTATAAAAGAAACAAATTGCAAAAAAGTTGGGAGCATGTTAGAAATATTCAAAAGAAATAGTGAAGTAATGGACTCTGATACGAAGGATGTCAAGATAGCAGAAGGGTGATGGTGGTGGCACTGGAACAAGAGGCAGGAATATCTACATTTTCTTATAAAATGTATTACCACTTCATTAAAAACATTGTGGATTTTGTCCTATAGGAAATAGAGTTATTGGTAATAGAAGAGAAACTGTTCTTTTTCAGTACCATTTGAAATACTCCTGCAAGGAGGGGTAAGATAGGCTTAAGGAGAGAATTTAGAGACTGAGCAACAATCCAGAAAGTTACTGAAAAATTCACTGTGAGAAGTTATTATGTTTTGTTTCTGGCCATAAGAAATGTGACTGTATTATAAAATGCCACCTGTTACATTTTATCCTTTTTTTCCCCCTAGGACTGGAAATAAAGAACTTAAATTTTATTATTTGAGTATTTTCATAACAACTGCTCAAAAGTTTGTTTCCTGTTCAACCGTTTTCACTGTTTTCACTCTGCTGAGCTGTTACTCACATTTTCAGTATTTGTTCCCCTAAGTCTTATCAGGAAGGTCATTTGGGGGTGGATCCATTTGTACAGCTGAGTATTGGGTCCTAAAGTATTTTGTTTCTTGCCATCAAATCTCCATAGAACCTGTTACAGTAAAGAAAATACCTTATTCCATAAGCTGAACTTTAAAGTTATACTGTGTTAGAATTTTAAAAGAAAAGGCCTCTAGGTAAATGCCTTCTATATGACAGACAGGGAAATGAGACATGTTAGGTAATGAGAACCACTAAAACACTAAAGTAATAGGAATACTCATGTTTATGTACTTATTTTTATAATCAAACAGGTACAGAATACAATCATGGCATTTTACACATAGTGGCATAGATAAATCATAGTGGTGTAGATTATCAATGACAGATTCAAATATTTAAGAAATTGTTAGGCAATCATGATTCTAGTGTAAAAACAGTGACAAATTACTAATAATATACATACTTATTTAGCTTTATTTTATATCTTAGTTCTCAATTTCTAAACTTAAAATTAATTTATTTTCTTCTTACTGTTATAAAAGAAAGTTTACTTACACTCACTTGTTCTAAAGTTATTTGAGTTTGACATCTGTTGATTTACATAAAGGTTAATCTATGCTATCAACCACTTTGAAAATGAAGATAATTGCTTATTAATAATATATTAATAATTCTGCTTAAGCAGTAAACACAACATTTGTTTAGGTTACAAATTGTTAAGCACTACTTCCAAGAAAAATTTTAATTGGTAATTTTTGACATGAATATGGAGTATTATTATTGCTAGATTTGAAAATTCTTTAACTCTAGAAAAGAAGAGCCTATTGGCAATTCAGAAATATCAATATGGCTGTTGAAAAAAATTTCAACATTGTGATGCTAAAATTTATACAACGGTCATTAAACACTTCAAAATGCAGCACAAAGCATTTAAGCATTGATTAATAAGGTTTATATGCCTAGAAACAAAAAAGTTACCAATTTTGGAATTTCCAAACAATCCTCATAAGCCATATTATAAT